ATTGCTTTGGGAAGGATACACTGCAGACTATCTAACCCCTATCCTTTAAGGGTAGAAAATTAACAACCCAGGTAAAATTAACTAGAAAAACAAAAGAGAGAGGAATTATATTTGACAGTGTCCTCTTATGACCCAATGTATCTTTGTGGACATTAATGTGATGTGCTACCTCCAGCATCAATGTGCTATTTTTAACTTAGAATATTCAATCTTTGCTCAAAGTAAGACATATGATTAGTGTTTGGAGGAATCAATTTGCTTTAATTTAAAGGAGAGGAGTGGAAATGTTCTAGAAAGGGGAAAAAATTTGAGCTCTTTATAAAACACAAATTTATGGGCTTCTCAAACATTTCCAAAGACCCTCTCCTTTTTAAATTCTTTCCAAACTATACAATCTCTTATGGGGACCTGGACCCCTCTTTTCATTGGGTTATCTACAATACAAAAGCCCCTGAGGTGTCATTTAGACCTCTGTATAGGATGGAGCTGTCCTGGGTCTGCTATTCTGCAGTTACATGTCACATTATCCTAATTGATACTTCTGTTATCTAAAGCCATTAACATGCTATATGAGTGAAGCAATCACCTAGGTCTGCTCTGCCTCATGTTAGCTGATACACGATGTGTGTGTGCACGTGTGTGTGTGTGTGTGTTAGGGTACACTAGTGCATCTAAAAAGTTCAGATCATTAAATTCTTGTTCTGTAACTCTCAAATTTGTTTCCACTCCCAACACACCTGAGGGAAATGGGACACTCATCTCAATAAAAAATAGTTCCCGGAAAGGGGCTTGGGAGGCATACATCATTCACTGGATCCTGCCATTCGAAAAGCCTCCCAGGTATTTTTAATAATACAGCCCATATCCCTTGTGGGTGAGGCAACAGCAGTATGAACCCCACCATACACTCGGGGTTGAATATCACTAATCTAGTAAAACATTCAGTATCCTATGGACCTATGCCACATGGCATCTTGTTTCCAGGTTGTGTCCAGCTCCAGGCCCTTATTCAACCCTCTTCTGAAGTTAAAGAGGCTCATTTTGTTCATTTGCTTCTAAGCTTGGATAAGAAGAGAAACAAAGACAGGATGACACCACTTCACTCTAGATCAGATAAGCAGAGCCACCTGTATTCCAGCAGAGGAGGTGGCTATTCACTAAATGCAGTCTCTGCTGGGGCTAAATGAACCTCCCCAACTGATGCCGGCATCTCCTTTACAAAGACAAATCCCATTTCATTCCACAATTAGTGATCCTGAAGGAAATAAAATCCTCCTCTGACTTAAACATATACATACTAACATGCAGATAACACATAGATCTCTTGCATCAGGTTTGGATTAGCAGAACACTTGGGAATACAAGGACTGGAAAGGTTGACACAGGAGGAGCAAGATTGAAGAAAGTGGTAAATGGGGCTGCGTGGAAGACATTGTCTCCTTCACATTTTAGTACAGGAAGACGCTGCAAATAAAATACATGGCCTTCCCAAAGTTGTCCAAAAAAAGAAAACAGACATTTAGGGATCACTTCCAAATTTGGCCCAAATATTTTCCACAAAATTTTTAAACACATCACAACCAGATTCTTAAAACCCCAATTTATGTTTATTGTTGAGCAGGACAGTCAGTAAGTTCATGAATTAAGACCCCATTTGTATTCCTTATGATCAAGGTTCATTGCATGTCTTCATTGGAGATGCTCTATCTTCTTCAACTCCATTATCTGGGAATAACTAGCAATACATTAATTTTTAGATTATTTATGGGCATATTTTTACATTCTGTGGGTCTTTCGCTACCCTGAAAGGGCCTAAGCTTGAGAAAACTGTCATAAAACTTATTTTTACTCAAGTCATAGCCTTTGGAAAATTAGTATTTAAGAAAAGTATTGTTTCTCAAAAAGGAGCTATATGCCAATCTCCAGTGCATTAACTGCTAATCCTTCCTCTGATAACTACTGTAATATTTCATGTCTGTACTAGCATATATGTATAAACAGAAGTCATCCATACATAGAGTGGAGAATTTTCTGTGCCAATTGTTTTATAATTAATATTACAAATGGAGTGCTAGCTGAAAGTCACATACAAATCAAAGTAAAGTAGCATAAGTTGCTATTATCTAATTCACATTCTTATGGTTCCAGAATCACCTGTAAGATGGCTTAGACACCTACATCCTCTCACTGGTGAACTTTTGAATTACAGACAATTTTCAAGTCCAATAACTTGGTTAATAACTAGATTTGCTTCTGTAGGTTAAATGCTCACTCTGGGCCAGTGAACTGATCATGTTAGTCATGACGTCTACCATAACAGCGCCCCCTCCTGGTGATAAGTGACCCACTCCCTGCACTTCAGTTAAGGGCGTCAACAGCTGCCCTTTCACGTGTTGGTCTGTGTCTCAAGAGATGGCCTGGGGCATTGGACTCTGTCCAGAGGGTCAGTAGTAACCTTCTCACCCAGTCAGATGGGGTCCCTCCAGGATTATCCAAGAAATTAAGAGAACTAACCAGTCCGTGAGGGAAGAATAGAGAAGAGAGAAGCCAGATACCCCCTGCATAAAAACAAAACCCCCTCTTGCCTTCAAGTGGCCTGGAGTTTCCTTCAATAGCCCAAAACACCAAAGGACATGACCAGGTCCTGATGGAAGCCTTCCTGCATTTTCTCATTAAATATACCCAACAATCTAACAATCTTATTATTCCCATTTTGCAGATAAGCTGATTCTATGTCAAAAAAAAAAATGCAAACAAGCTTGGAAAACCTCATATGAACACTTTGTCTCCTCCACCACACTCCTCAAATCCTTGCCCACTTTTGGCTGGGCATCAGGCTACAGGAAACAGCCAGGATTCACAGGAATTACAATGGTATTGGCAGGAACCCGAATTGGTTTATAAGGGGAGGGAAATCAAAAGGAGTAGATTCTTAGGAACCTTTTCCTCTCCTCTAAAAGTGATGTTTTTGAACCACAGCTACTAAGTTAAAAATAGAAAAGAGATGCCTTGGAGCAGGTGAGGAGGGAGTTCAAATCAGAGAGAAGAGTTACAGAAATGTCTGAGCTGGACACCACCCCAGAGCAGAAAATGCCACATGGCACAGAACTGGGGTAGCTGGGAGGAATCCTAGATCCCAAGATGTGGGAGGAAACCTGGAGAATTCTGGTTCCATATCTTGCCTCTAAGCAAGGAGTCCCTCTAAGAGAAATGGTAAAAAAAACTGCCTAGTTTCCCTTGAAGGTTTCCAGAAATGGAGAACTGAAGCAACTCTGGCTATATGTCTTAATTGTGTCCTTCTCACTGTCAAGAGGTGCTTCTTAATGTCCTGCTCAAATGTCTCCAGCACACCCTGAAGCCTGTTTGCGCCTCTTCAGTACTCCTTAGACGCAGGGAGCTTCTGCTTAGCATCCTCCTTATTTGAGAAAATTTCATCTATCTGAAAATAGCCATTAAGTTGCCTCATAGCATTTTCTCTTCTAAACTAGGGAAATCCATACAGAGGCTGCACAGCCACTCAAGGGGATGTTACAAAGAGGATTCCAGTGCCATGAGTGGGCCAGACTAGATGTGTCTCCAAGATATCTGCCAAGCCAGAAATCCTTTGATTCAATTCCTTTCATCGTTTGTGTGACATTTCCCATCACTTTGCTCACATTTGTCACAATACCTGTCATCTGCCCAATTTCTCCATATTCTTTTAATATTTCTAAATCTAATGTGCATAGGAATTTTTTTTTTTTTTTTTTTTTTTTTGGCGAGACGGCATCTTGCTCTGTCACCCAGGCTGGAGTGGAATGGCATGATCTCAGGTCACTGCAACCTCTACCTCCCAGGTTCAAGCGATTCTCCTCCCTCAGCCTCCCAAGTAGCTGGGACTACAGGCATGTGCCACCACGCCAGGCTAATTTTTTGTATTTTTTAAGTAGAGACAGGGTTTTGCCGTGTTAGCCAGGATGGTCTCAATCTCCTGATCTCATGATCCGCCCACCTCGGCCTCCCAAAGTGCTGGGATTACAGGCATGAGCCACTGCGCCCAGCCAGGAACCATTTTTCACAATATAAAACAAAGGCTCATTAAGTTAAAAAATTCATGTCCCACTGAGTAAGAAACCAGAGTGAAAGTATTTTCAATTAAACCAATTATGTCTATTACAAAAGACTACATATTAGTTATTAATAAATAAAATGAGAAAGTTAATGAAAATGGTGAGTTAACAATAACTTTATTTTTACGGCACTTTATACTTTTCAAAGTATTTTTACATATATTATTCCATATTTCCAATTTTATTCAATATATAAATGCAACATATGGGTAATAGATCACCAAACCTAAATCAAAAAGTCTAATTTATCCTGCTAAATTTGAACTTTTAATGCCATAAGAATTATATATAATTATTCCAAGTCTGTATCAGAGCAGTCTGAATTAATAAGGTTCTGTTCTATTGTAGTTATAATAAACCTGACAGTTTTATGGCCATCTCATCTCCCAGAGTGTCACTCCCATCTACACATTAGTAATAAATACTGTTTCTTCATGAACAAACTTTTGTCATAACAGAGCATCCCACCTTAAAGAAGTTTCACCCAGTAAATTAAATAGCTCAAATACCATAGAAATGCTTTCCATCATAAATGTGCTAAGAGTTCATTATTCTCTTTAAAAATGCTTTGATTTAAAATGAGCCTAATAAGGAGGTTATCCCAAGATGACAAAGACCCAATATTTCACAGAACTTTTCACCTTTCTCTTTGATCAGGAAAAAAAAAAAAAAAAAAACAGAGTCAAAATTAATCCAGTTAATTGTAAATAATGGAACTAAACCAACACATGTAGAATGCCCCATACAGAATGCCCCATTTGAGGAACCTGGTGACACGGAAAGGGTCTATGAGCACCTTCACCATCTTCAATTTCTTCTTAAACCTGCAGTTGGAGTCATAGCATTTCATTGTCCTTTCACAATGGTCAGAAAGACAATGCCTTTACCTACCTTAAAAAGTCTTAAAATGTTAGCAACCATGATGGACACGGAGCTTGCTGCAGCACCTATGACGCCAGAAATCTTGTCGGGCTTGGTGAAAATGGGTGGATCTCCATTAGCACACTTCACATCCGAAGCATCTTTCTCTATTAATGCCTGCACGAACGTTAGAGACTGCTCCAAAGCATAGGTGTCCCTAGAGCACGTGTCGAGGATGCGGACACCCAGAGTGATGTTGGAAAGGAGATCAGGGTCCTTGTTAATCTGGTCAATTGCATAAAGCATGGCCTCCAGTCTGTGAATCCCCTTTTCCTTCTTCAGCTCCCCACAAGGCACTCCTCTCTCTCCCTTTGCGTGGACAGGGAAGAGACCCCCCAAAATAATGTCCCCATCCACCCGTATGGAATGGGCATACTCTTGGCTGTGAGTTCTTTGCATCATTGTGAGGATCCAGTAGAACTTGGCGGTCAAGAGGAAGAAACAAGGGCAAGAGGCTGATCGCTTTCCCTCGCATACCATTTTCTCCACAGGTGGTATTGCAATCCAAGACCCAAAGTTTATTCTTGCCACAGAAGAAGGGGGACCACCTGAGGCTGCACCTTCTGGAGGCTACCATCAGGGCCCATGGGGAAAAGGCTCTGTGGGCATCAGCAAGTTTTCTTGATTTGAATGTCACAGTGAGTTTCCATCAGACCCCTAAGGTTCAATTTTATTTCCTTATAAGATCAACTTGCCTGGAATGGTGCAAAAATTAGAACATCTGAGGTTCTGATGTTGGGATGAGGTCAACAATTCATGTCCTTGAAATCAGCCTTGTAGCAGAATTACTCCTGGGAAGAGGGGAAAAAAGGGGGTTCAGTTCAGTGGGTCTACATGTTTCACATTTTGCAGCCCTGTTTATGCCAGCCTCTTAAAAAAAAATCCCCTATTCAGTAAGAAACTAATTCTTTTTGTCCCCCTGTGATTCTGAACACCTGGCTGCACTGCATCTAAATAGGGAGATTGATGACACTTTTGGAGCAAGGGAAACAGAACAGTATCAGGAATTAGGTTGATTCTCCCAAGCCAGAAAGTATTTTTATTTATCATTTTATATCAATAAACCTTATTTCCATGAAGGTAAAAATCCTGCAAGTGATGGCACCATTTCTTTTCAAATCTGTTTTGTTTTTTTGGTTTTTTTTGTTTTTGTTTTTTGCAGCTATCTGAATTTAGCATTCTAATTTTGTCAACAAAATCATAATAAAATATTATTTTCTGTGATGTATTCAATAAGCCAATCATCTGTTAATGACTTTTATTTTTAGTGCCTCAAATTACCCAGTAGGAAAAAGTGATTATTCAATTACAAAAAGTGAGAGAAAGAAATCCACCCAAAGAGCTAAAAAATGTGTAAGTTTTGTAGCCTGTGAAGAAAATTAACATAGAAAGTCAGCTATTTTGTATAAATTGTCTTATTCTTCTCTGGTAAGAAAACAAAGACTTGAAAATGAAACACGCAGGGAAGGTGACATGTGAAGATATTCCTATTACCATTGTCAGAGTTTCCAGTTAATTTGTTGGGGTGGGAGCAATGGGTATATTAACAGTTCTGAGGGAAACATGCCTTGATCCCAGAATCACTAGGAGCAAATCAGAGTTGGTGATCAAATGAAGAGCTGCTTAATTCTGTCTGACTCGGTGGGGAAAACAGTTATTTCATCGAGACTAGAAATAACTTGGAATGAAAGTGTCTATAGGCACTTCTACAAAGTTTTTTCCTACGGCCTTCACTCTTAATTCCATAAGATTTTTTTCAAATGACTTTCGAAGAGATGTGACTGAAAATGAGAACTGACTTAACACAGGGAATCTGAGATTTGTAATGCACAGCTAATTAAGAGAATAAACAGCACCAATTTACTTTGGCAGGATGGTTAATCTAATGCTCATTTCTAACCTATTTATGTATGAGTTTGAAACCTGAAATTTGGACAGTTCTCCTGTACCCTAGCCAACCAACATCTGCTTGTATTTTCCATTCACTTGTTCAAGTTCCAGTTCATAAAATTTTCTTTTTATCCTTCTTGTCTCGAAAGGAAAGATGGTGCTTCCCTGGGGGATAAGTGAACATATGCCCAAACGTCCTCGAAGAAAGCTGCACTTTTTGCACTTTCAGATTAGAAAAGAGGGCTCATAGCAGCCCACTGCCCCATATTTCTGAGCAAACACCTGGTAGCCCAGCCAGCCAATGGCCCACTCGGCTGAGATAGTTCTGTGCAGCCTAAGACAAGTACTCACTGCCTCCCGGCACATATTAAGCCTTAGATTTCCTACGTGCTGCCCTCAAAAATACTTCATCCTTTCTGATTTTTCTCACCACTTAACTGTTAGTCCCTCACACTCGATTCTCCTAGCAGCTGCTTTTCCCTCAGAAAATCTGTGATTCAATAACAGCCTGACCTCGGGCATTCCACAAAAGGAAACACTCAGAAAGTCAACCTGACTTTCAGGATGAAACCATTTAAGTGATGGGCCATAAATTACACCGGCCACCCATTAAGAGAAGTAAGATTGTGTTTTACAGTTTCACAAAGAAAACCAGTCACATGATAGTAAAACCTCATTAACTCCCATCACTAGTTGAGAATTTGAGACCAATTCCACGTGCCTGGGCTGACCCTTGTTCTGACAGAGTACAGACTAAATGAATAAATAAGGTGAAGAAGAAATGTCTAGGGGGAGTGGATGGGTCTTGATTTTCTCCAAAGGCCCGCCTTTCCTCTTTGCACCAAGCCATCCCCCAAGTACTTAAAACACTTATGAGAATAAATGGCTTTCAACTATAGACGAACATACAAACAGCCCATCTGTTCATCACAATGCATCCTTACCTATCCATGTGGCATTAACCTAGTTCCAGTTGCTGTATGGTCCAGAAAGTAATAAAATTGAGTCGCTTTTAAAATTATTGGTGATTGCAATATTGTTTACTCTCTTTAGTATCTCATAGCTTTGTTTGGAGCTTTAATTTTTTTAAAAAAAAAAGGTTGGGGGATGAAGAACAGTGAGGCAGGAATCAGTTTTGTTTAGTGGTTGAATGCACTGAAATGGAAAACGAGAGGTTCAGTTTTGGTTTCATTTCAGTTTCATTTATTGAACAGCTCACTTGAATTTTTGCTGGAGTTTCCGTCTCTGGGTCATAGAATTAATTGCATGTAACCTCTCTGAAGCTTGCTTTTCTTGTCTTTAAAGGGGTGATAGAATCTGCCACACAGCACACATGGAAAGCATAGTATCTGGCTCAGTAAACAGGAGTTATTGTTGCTAACTTAGTCTGTAATTCATTTTCTACTAGAGCAAAGCACCTCTTTCTGTATTTGCCCAGTTGGTGAGCTTTTACTGAATTTCATTTGTCACTTTAAAAAATAAAATCAGAGCTACTTATAAAATATTTAAATCGTGCAGTTATTTCAAAATCTGATACACTGTCATAAAAATCAGACTCCACTGCCAGAAGGTTTAGTTTCCCCTTTTAAGAAATCTAAGGAAAAATGTATTTGAAAGTTTGTGAGAAACTACATCAGTTAGGTTTCATTGTACAGCCTTAAATTACTTATCTTGCTCTTGTACAATTCTTGTGAGCTTTAGTCCAAACTCATCCTAGTTTGAGTCTATGAGTTTTAAAGAAATCATAATCTTTCAGAGCTATAGATCCAAATACCTCTATTTTATGTTTTGTGTTTGATTTAAAGGATAAACAGCTCCTCTCTCAAACTGACCTGCCTCTGATATGTGGCAGAAGCCTGGCTGTGCTGGACTGTTTCAAGGCGGCGTGAGGTCTAGACTCCCGAAACCAATCTCAGAGCGGGACAAATCCTCTCAGCACTATGTCTGGGCCCACAGGGAGAGGCCGTGCAACCCTTTGGGGAGGCTTAACTATGAACCCTCATAGACCTTCCTGTGCACTCCCCTGCCTGCCCACCCTTACTTACAGGGCACATCATACATCATTGGGCCCTCCATGGGCAGTCTGGCCTAAGGCTCCTGGGAGCAGGCACCCTGGCTGGACCCTAAGCCTGTGGCCCCCTAAATGTGCTCTGTTTCCTAAAAGGCCAGAAGGACAGCTCCTCACTGGCCAGAGCCCAGAATTCTGCTTTATTTTCTACACACCTTCTCTGTACCAGTGTCAAGTACCTAACATAGTATCTCCACCAATTTTCATACACCAGGCATTAGCTCTTGTATAAATGAGAAAAGAAGGCTCAGAGGGATTGAATACGGCCCCAACCCCTGAGCTGGTAAGCTGATGAGTGGCAGTGCCACCGAAGTCATCTGTCCCAAAAGGTGGGTCTGTCACTGGAGAAAGCCCCCAGTGCTACAGGGACTCGCTGTGGCAGCACGAGAGAAGGGAACAGCCCTGCCCCTCCACTGCAATCTTTCAGAAAGGTGCACATCTTTGATGCTTAGCTCTGGAAGAACAATAACATACTAATTAGGAAGGGACAATCTGGCAGCATTTCTAGGGAGGTGATTTCTGAATCTCTCAAAGGGCTGAGAAGATCCAATGCAGTTTGTCCAAACACTTCTGCTCCAAATGAGGTCTCCTGGCCATGTTGATGTCAATGGGAACACACCCACCAACGCATGCAGGGCCTCTCTGGGTCTGCCATCACGTCTTCCTTGGCCATTTAGCAGGTACGATTAAAATACGATAGGGTAAAATCCTCGCTGAGGAATACCATTATCCAAGAATTGTAATATTTTTCTCATAAAAAGGCCAAAGCAGCATTCCTATGCTGCATTCCATTCAGCTCTTTAACAAAAAGGTTAAGCTGAATATTCTCATCAATTCATACAACTGCTCACACTTGCAGCTCTTCAGGTTGTTTTTGAAAACCGCGCGGTGGCTCAAGCCTGTAATCCCAGCACTTTGGGAGGCCGAGACGGGCGGATCACGAGGTCACAAGATCGAGACCATCCTGGCTAACACGGTGAAACCCCGTCTCTACTAAAAAATACAAAAAACTAGCCGGGCGAGGTGGCGGGCGCCTGTAGTCCCAGCTACTCCGGAGGCTGAGGCAGGAGAATGGCGTAAACCCGGGAGGCGGAGCTTGCAGTGAGCTGAGATCCGGCCACTGCACTCCAGCCTGGGCAACAGAGCGAGACTCTGTCTCAGAAAAAAAAAAAAGAAAAAAGAAAATGCATCATATTTCTGTATCATCTCCCATGCTGCAATATGTATGCATGTCTATGGATTCTTGGTGGGGCAGAGTGAGGATGGGGCAGACAGAGCTCTCCCCTGGCAACAGAGGCCTGGAATCAGATCTTTGTCTGACAGTCACTGGCTGGTGACACTCCCAAGCACACAGAGGTGACATGTCCCCTCACCTCTATGTGCTTCCATTTCCTCATCTGTGAAATGAGTGAGATGGACCACATGATCTCTAAGGTGTCTTCCAGCTTCCTATTCTGAGATTCTATTATTTAATAATAGGGGAATATGAGATTATGCTCAAACATCAGAGCAAGGCTTTGCCAACTGAACACAATAACTGATTTTGTTTGCAAGTTGAGTGACTTTTTTTCATCAGTGAGAGAATTGTGACAGCTCTTCTACACAAGCCAGCCTCATATTTTAAAAAATCTGATACAGGAGAAGCTCGACTTACTAAACAGATAAATTAGAAAGTAATTATTTGCATTACAAAAGAATTCACCACAGGTTTCCTTTAAATAGCTAAATCCCAGGCATTTAAAAAAACAATCTGATTTAAGAGAATTCAATTTGTGCCCTTATTTTTCCAATAACACAGCTATTACACAAAAAGACCACATTTAAAGTAATGAGAAGCTACTTTTTATAATATGTATCAGATAAGAAGAGAGAAAGTGGGTGACATCAACACTTACTGAATGCCTGCAGTGTGCCTGGAGCTGCAGACACATTATTTCATTTCCCTCTTAAAATACAACTATGAGGTTGGTATCACAGCCGCCATTCAAGATCTAAGGAACCTGAAAACAGAAAGATTATATGACTGTGTCTCAAGTCTCAGGCCAGGATTCAAATGCAGGACTGCCATTTTGTTCCTTCCCTTACTCCATGCCCCCTGGGGGCAGGAGGCCATGCTGGATCTCAAACTAACTCTGATTTGATAATGAGGACTGTGAGTGGGATGTTCTAGAGTCGTAGGAGACACTGATTCTAGTCTTACTTCCCCCAGTATTCACTGTATAGCACCGAGCAAGTCACTTAACCAGATCTCAGTTTCTTTGTTTCTAAAATGGGGAATGATTCTCCCCCATCTCCCAATCTGTGAAATCAAACAATATAATGTGTGTCGAAGTACTTTATAAACTGCCAAGTACTATAAGAATGCACAGGGATACTGTTAGTTTAACAATCCGTCCTAGAACTAAAATATGTTATTGGTGTATTGTACTTAGAAGATCTAAGAAAACCACTTTCTCATCATACTTGGGGCTAGTCAGACCTTAACAAGGGTCATAGGTCCAAAAAAGTCAACCCTGACAAGCCTATATGGAGAGCACAGAGCTTGAAGGAAAACTGGAAAGGATGCAAGAAGAAGTCAATGGAAGTACCACGTCTGACCTGGAGAACTAAAGGTCATGGTCACTGAGCATCTAAATCGCTATTCTGAAGAAAGTGGTGACAAGATAATCTCCTGTTGTGAAAACAGGACAACCGGAAACCTTCCTAAGTTGTAGGCAGAATATAATGCTTCTACCGCTGGGACATGACCACTGGAAAAGTCAGCCAATAGATAGCCAGCAGCTTTCTAGCTTCAGGCATAACCCTGCCTGGAAAAGTATGAAATTGGCAACACATGTGTCCAACAATCTATACTCCTCTGAGGCCTCTCCTAGATCTTCCAACTTCTGCTCACCTCCTGCCCTGCCCTGCCCTGCCCTCCCCAGAACTAGGTCTCTTCCTTCCCTCAGTGCCTTTGTTCTTTCATTACCTTGGCCCTCCCCAGGGAGTGAGTGGATTCATGAGCAGGTATCAAAGCCTGAAGATGCATTACTGTCATCCCCAAATGGAACATCTGCATTCTCAAAATGATTCCTAGGAGAGCCATAATTTCTTTACCAAAGAAATATCACCATTAATAATGGTTAAGGCTGGCAATGCAACAAGCCAGAGCAGGGAGCTAGGAGTCAGGAGCCTCTCAATAGTACCTCTCAAATCACTCCAACAGCAATGCCCACCACTCAGAAAGGGTGTCCTGGGATGAGGCAATATTATGCTCAGAGTCCCTCCCAGTGAGTGGGTTTGTCACAATTTGTCAAAGTACCAGGTAGAAATGAAAATCAAAGAAAAAAAGAAGAAAGAGAGAAAGCCCAAATCTAAATTCCAATTCCTAGTAGAAAGAAAACAAGATCCCTCTCTTGAAATGAACACAATAAGCCAGCCAACTCTCAGCTCATAGCCTCTCCTGCGAACGACGTGAAGTGGCCGTCCCTACTGAAGGAACCACATTTGTGAGTCTGGCGATGGCCAGTCAGAGTCTATCAAGAAAACAGCAAGTTTCCTGAACCTCCGCAAGCCAGCCAACTTGACAAGCATGCAGATGTGGACAGGTCTTGGCTGTGGGTCCAGGAAGAGAGAAATTCAAGCAGCCTCTTCTTTTAAGACACTGTGACACAGCAACTCCACTCCCCCCAACTAAAGCAAGGTCATCTTTATGATGGGCATTCCAACTACCTGAGGAAGGTGGTAGGAAGGAAACTCGGAAGGAAAAAAACATGTGTGTAGTGTGCTGTGCATCGTGCCCTGAAGACAATGGAACATTCATACACAAAGATTGGCACGCAATTGCCAATGTGAATGTCAGACGGGTTATTTGCTGCATAAATACCAATTAAACAAGCCCCGCAGCAGCTTCAACCTGCTCAGCCAACTTTGAAAAAAGCACATCTCTCCAGACCTCTAACTTTCCCCTGCACTCATTGGAGCTCAGCTCCTCCTTTTCTCTATTCCTTTCGGATGTAGATGTTTTTAGAACTATTCAAGCAGCCATAACTTTCGAAGGGTGCATAATAGGGCAGAACTAGCTAGCACAATCCAAACAGAACAAATTGAACCTAAACAACAGTGTAGAGAGCTGTGTTCTCAGTATCTTCTTCTTTATTCCGGGTCAATTGTCTCCTACAAAGCCTCCCGTCATCTATTTCTCCCCACATCCCTTATTCAGAAGCAAGAATTCTCTATCTTAGACATGGTACAACCTGTAGTTGACTCTAAAATGAGAAAATTGCATTTTAAAAAATCTTGGTTCGTTTTCCCTGATGGAGAAAGCTTTTCTCTTCAAAATTATCAAGGCACATATTTTCAAGAACCAGAGAATGAATTGCACACAGCTGACTGTGCCTCCTACAGAGATCTTTCACGGTATTATTCACAAGCAAGTGACCAAGGTAAACTAAAGTGGTTTCTGTAGCCATTTGCAATTATTGACAAACAATTTCATAACGGAAAATGGAAATTACAGGCTAGTGCAATAAGCTGTTTATCCACGATCTACCTGCTGGTGGCTCTTTTTCTCTATTTTTCTTTCAAGTAAAATACAAGCTATCATAGGAATGCATTTCTCCCGTTCATGATTTTTCTTGTATCTCCACCACCAACCCTGTTTTCCAGTTCTGTCAGTTGGCAGGATTTGTATTCAATCGCGGTAGTAGCCTGGACTCTAGTGTATTCTTGGGTGTTCCAGAGACTCCCGCACCTTCAGGTTTGTGGGAAAGGATCCCCCAAATGGCAAATTAGGCATTCCTTCCCGGGGGCGGGACTTGCGTAGGGGACTTAAGGATTTCTGCAACCGGCGAGGGGATCTGTTTTCACCCCCGCTATCCAGGGTGCGCAGAGACCCTCTGACCCTAGGCTTCGCAATTTGGGCCACGGGGGAAGTAATTCCCCGGGGAACCGCGGGGGTGCCGTTTTGCGCAACTGGGTGACTCGCGTGTCCCTCCGCATTTCATGTGCACCAAGGGAGCGCGTGTCAAACGAAAGAAAATTTTTTTTCTTTTTTGGTGATTCTGTTATATTTTCACCAACTGTACGAAGCTCAAGGGATCTCCGAGCTTTCTGGCTGGGCGGATGGGCTTCGCGCTTGGCGTGGCTGAGCTGTCTGTCCATCTCTACCTCTGTTTCTATCTCTACCATAACAGCGGCCACTCAGCCCGCCCGGATCCCCTGTTCCCCCGCGCACATTCCTTTTTCTTCTTAGTTCCTTGCGCTGTTGAAGCCGGGCTCTGGGGTAGATAGCCATGGGGGGAGCGCCAGGCTACTCTCGCCTTTCCCGCGCCCCGGGGCATTCCGGCGCCGCCCCGGTGCCCCCGCGCGCTGGGAGTGCAGCCTGCGCCCCCGCCGCACCTGGCCGCCCTAGCGCCCACGCCCCGCACTGGGCCGCCCGAAACTGGGGCCGCGCCAGCCGCGGGAGCTGCAGAGGAGCTATCGGGGCGCGTTAGCTTTTGCTTTTTAAACAAGACCCCCGAGACCTTTTCTCCATCCCCCAACCCCCAAAAGGACACGGAACTCCGGCGTTTCCCGAAAGCCACAAAAGAGGGGCACGGAAATCCCAAGCTCGCCGTGCTAACTCGGAGAACGCAAACTCGAGACAGAGCGTGCGCCGTGCGGGGATGCGGGTGTCGAGGACCCCGAAGCCCCCGGCTTCCCCCGCGACCCCCATCCTCCCTAGATCCCGGTTAGACATCCATCCAGCCCACGCTCAGAGGGCGGGGGTATTACCCCGACTCATCCCGGAAGCCGCTAACTTCGGAAATCCCTCCCGTTAGGTTCGCGAAACGAAGGTACCTCGTCATCTCGGCGGGGCAAGTCCGGATTCCACCAGGGCAGGTCTGGGAGGTCACCCGGGGCAGGCGATCCGAGGCAGAGCGCTTTAAAATCCTGCCGCCGCACGCCCAGTCAGAGCGCCGAGCGCGCCTGCCCCTTTTCCCGTCACCCTTCAGTCTCCCATTCGCCGACTAAACTTTTGGGGGATCACACCTCCAAGCCTTGGGAGTTCCGGGTGAAGTCTCCCTCTTTTCTGAACCTCTTTACTGTAATGTAATCACGGTTAGACAAGAGGGGTGGCTGCCTTGTTCTTTGCAACGTAAAATCAACAGACACCCAATCAAGCTCCAATGCCCGGCCAGCCCCTCGCCCCCTGGTGCCCACTCTCCCTCTCCCCACATTCTCGTCACCTCTGCCCGCCAGTTCTCTCACAGACTACAGGCGTGCAGGGCCATCTACTTGTGCTCAGGAAAAGCAAATCACTCGAGTGATCTGGGAAGGAATGGTGCACCTGGCTGTCCGCTGAACGGTTTTAGGGAAGAAAAAGGAAAGGGGAATAAAACGGGGGGATTCTCCTTTTCCAACAAGCAGGGCGTTTCGGGGAAGTTTGGGGGCCGGGGGCTTTTTGTCCCGTGGTTCCGCACTTGCTTTGCTCGGAGCAGCTTTCTGCTGCCGGGCGGCGAGTCTTACCCTGCTCCCCGCAGAGGGCGCGGTGAGGAAGCCCGCCGGGGGCCCGCAGCTCCATGTCAGCGCCGCCGCCGCCGCCGCCGCCGCGTGAGGCGAGCACAGCGGCCGCACTTGTGGCTGATCTCCGGGCTGAGGGGGCTGAGCTGGCCGAGCCGGCGCCAAGTCTCTTCCATGTGAATAACAAATACTCCCACCGGCGGCCGCGATTGGTCTGCGCCCGGCGCCTCCCGATCCTCCGCCCGCGGCCATTCACCCCGCGCGGCGCGGGGAGCCGCGGCCGGGATCGCGCCCGGGATCGCCAATCGCTTCGCGCCAACCAGTCACCTCGGGAAGCAGGAGGAGGAACCCCCGAGGGGCGGGAGCCTCTGGATTTCGGTGTCACCCAGCGGCCCTGGCGAGGGCAGGGAGGGGGACCCTCGACCCGCGGATCCCCCTCCGCGCTTCAACCCGAAGCGACAAGGAGACTAGAAATGTCAATAGTTCTGATTTTTAAAAATCACCCCACCTTCCCCGCCCCCAAGAAAAAAGGGAGGACCCAACGACAGAGTGGGAGGGTGGGAAGAAGCGGGAGCGGCAGAAGGAGGAATATGGCTGTGGAGGAGCCCAGAGGCTCCGGCTGCCTGGCGAGCCCGGGACCGGCGCGGCGAGGCGCGACGCCAGCCGGAGCACAGCCGGCAGCACCCGCGAGCCCGGGTCCCCCGTGAACACAGCTCCAGAAAGCGTCACCGAGAATAACACATGGTACATGACAAGTGTCCCGCCACATGCTTTCTTTTCGGGGATGCTTAAAGTAGAGCCGCAAGCAGCACGGTTCCCCTGCAAAGTTTGCCTGGGGCCGCGCGGCGGTTCCGCCATTTGTCCGGCCCCGCGACTCGGACGATTGTCTCCCCACTCCCCGCCCCCGAGGGTCTGGGGAACGCGTGCTACAGAGTCCCCAGGGCTCGCGGTACCACACAGCGCGGTCCGCTGAAGGCACTGCGCAGGACGGGGCGTGTGTGGCTACCGGGACGGTCATTTTATTGAGATGATTCAAGGAGCCGCAGACGCGGGGCAGGAAACTCCGGGAGAGCTGTGCTCGGGTTCTGCAGGGAAACCTTGGGATTCCCTTCGCATGCCGCCTGTGGAAACCTGCTGGGTTCGTCGTGCACAGTCCAGCGCTCCTCCCCACTAGTTACCGCCCAGGTCCCCAGACCCCGCACCCGCCGGAATGAGAGAAAGGAGCCCCTCGCCGCCCAGCGCCCGGGTAGCTACTCCGACCGGGCCTTGCGTTGGTGAGAAAGTTCCATCTAGAGGCGGCCTCGCGCAACTGCAGGCGGCGCCCTAGGCCCGGGCGAGCCAGGGAGGGCGGGGCACGGGGGAAGAGGGGGCAGCTCAGGAGGTAAAGAGGATGGAGAAGGACCAGAGAGACCCCGAAAAAGCAGGCTCTAGACCCCCGTTCGGCATCTCTATAATGAATTTCATCTTCCTAAGCATCATGAACTTATAAGCATCATGTCAGGAATCTTGCATTAATTCCTGTATATATCGCCTATTCTGTTCGGGTTATTTTAATTTTCACATCAACTCTGTGAGGTGATCAAAATTATTAAGCCCACTCTACAGATGGAAGAAGAAACCGAGGCTTAGAGATACGGCTGGAAAGTATTAGAGCCAGAAATCACAGCTGTCTGGCTTCAAAACCCCATAGCACTTCCTCCTTGGTGGGGTTGCCTTTTCCCAAGGCTGGTTTTAATGTGCAAAGTTTCCATTGAGGAGACAGCTGTCTCCCTCCTAATTTCAAAAAAGGGCCTTTGCCCTTTGTCACTTAGAAAAAAATCTACAGGTTTTCAGCCCAGGGCACCTCCTCCCCGTTCATTCCCTTCCTTCTCCCGTCTCCTGATGAGAGGCTCTTTGATTGTTGAATCATTATTTTATCGCAGCAACCACAAAAGAGAGAGGGAGGAGGATTTGGAGACAGAAAATGGGCTGGGTCCTCTGTCTGAAAACCTTTCTGCATAGGGAACCTCAATTCCCTGTGAATGTCTGGTGCAGCTCTGAAGAGGGTGATCAGTGGCCAGTGCCACTGGGGACAAGGAAGGTGGGAAGAGGGAAGAGCTCCTAATTTATGCGGAGATGGGACTGGGTGGACTTCCTGGTTTCATGCCTGCGTGTAAGAAGCTTTAAAGATTTTCTTTTCTTAGGGACTGGAAGAGATCCCTCCTCCCCCAGAAGTGTAAAGTGCGTGCAGTGGCCTGATTTCTGTAGCAGGAAGCCCACTCCACCCCAAATTCCAGACCCATGATCCCGGTCTGAGCAATGTTATCGCATTTTTTTCCAGAGGTCTTTACGTGACCTCTGGAGGCTGCTTTGGCATCCATGTGATAAGCTAGAATTGCCAGAGAATAAACATCATCTGGCAGCAGTTCTTGACTAACACCTTGTAAGTATTGGTGTGTAGATACCCCAGCTCCCTCATCCCTCAGTTGGACCCACTCTCTGCTGTGTGTTTTACACTGACTTCCAGAGTTCCCCACTGGGATTAGGTACCAGATGCCCACAATGGTACCTAGCTTGACAATGCACCCTTTATTGGCTCACTTCCCCACCTGACTACCGGAATTCCCTTCACCTCTTAAACTACCTGCTCTTGAATCCTTGTTTCAGGTTGTGCTTCTAGAGGAACCCAAATGAAGCCAGTAGAGATGCACATATACTGCATGTTAGTATAGGTATGACATACACTGTCAGTGTAGGTATAGCATAGAGGTATAAATAAGTCCGTGTTAGACCCTTTATTACATGTGCATTAATAAATTTGAGGGGGAAAGAAACGTGACAGAGGGGAAAGGCAGAGGAGGCCCTCAAATATGTTGGGCATCTGCTGCTGCTGACCAAACATTGTCTTCAGGGTAGGCGAGAGGCCAGCTGCAGGGCCAGTAGGGTCATTGCCTCGCATGAGCCAAGAGGGTAGCACCCTGGTGCTCTAGCAGGCCCATTTTAAAAATAAGGGCAATAAGGCTGGCTGTGGCTTTGGAGGCCTAAGGAAGCTGAGTTAGCTGCTTGGGGAAGAAATGCCTAATGAGCTGCTTTTCTCCTTTCCCTATTATCATTACCTGCAGAGAACTGATGTCTTATAGGCACATCGCTGCCCTTTTTGGTGCAGCCTTCTGCGAGAAAACTAGACTTGATCTCTTCTAAGGAAAGTGCAAGTCCAATGCTTGGTTTTGCATCATCTTTAACTCTTGATACTCAAAATAGAACCATCACTCAAATCCTACATGGAATCTGGTCAATAAGGAATAGAGCCCTTCTATATATTCTTCAGTGTTTCCAATGACTTTATCTAGTAGCCCCTTGAGCAAGTGACATAGGCTTATGTACAGGTTATAATTTTCCCATGTACAGGTTATAAGTCTCCCAGACCGATAGCAACATTGGGACACAGGAGGAAAGATTGTCCCCAGGAGGGACTGGTCCCTATCAGTAACGTTCACAGGAAAAAGTCATCGGTTGTACAACCTCTATTCATCAGGGCCAAACACCATGACACTGCTTGCTCATTGCTGCAATCTGAGTCAGGAGAGAGTGTCTGAAGACCAGGCCGTCCGGACATGCAGGTT